GGAGGGGACACGTCGGGTGAAAGGAAGCGATTTACCTATTTTATATGGTATTCGTGACCTGTTGGGACAGAAGATTTACCTATATACGAGTTAATCGGGAAAGGGCTCCTTGGAGCAAGGTCTTGACCTCCTCCTCAAGGTCGGAGGTGAGAGAAACAGGCTTATACTCGGGCATCAAAATAGCCCAAGTGGATGTGACAGGGAGCGAGGTGGGAGCAGACGCCCATACCCATTTATTCGGCCACTTCCTAGGTGCTTCTGGGTACTGATCAAAGAGCTTACGGCGTGATGATTGGCAAAGTGACACGAACCCACCGTCATCTGTCTTATTGTTAGGGTGACTCCACCTAAAGCATACGGTATGGACGGCCAGATATTAACCCTCTTACAGCGAGAGACAAAAGCAGCCGTAAACATATGTGCGCTCGGGGTCATCTGGCACAGCGATATCTCGATATGGGTGAGGAGTGCCACCAAGAAGGGACACAAAGGCACCTGCATGCCCCGCACAATGGACAGGACATGAGCCCCGAAAAAGGATTTCAGAGGGGGGCTAATGAGGATACTCTCGCGATCCGGCAATATGAGCGTACAATCACTCCCGACAAAACGTTTCGCTAACTCCAAATCTCCCGCCTTACTGGAATGACGCAAACGCTCCCTCCAAGCGTTGGGATCCTGAACACTGTCTGATTGCGCGGACTCGCTACCTGACTTGGACGTGCTATCTGACCAAGACGCACCATCGTTGGCAGGAAGAGCGGGGTTCTAGGCGGGCCGCTTGGAGCAAGTTGGAGACCGTTTTTGGGAGTGATTACACTCATATTACCGGATCGCGAGAGTAACCTCGCTAGCCCCCCTCCAAAATCCTTTTTCGGGGCTCATATCCTGTCCATTGTGCGGGGCATACAGGCGCCTTTGTGTCCCTTCTTAGTGACATTCCTCACCCATATCGGGATATTGCCGTGCCTGATGACCCCAACCGCGCATATGTTTACGGTTGCTTTTGTCGCTCGCTGTAAGAAGGTTGATATCTGGCCGTCCATACCGTTGTTTCGTACATGCTTTAGGTGGAGTTGCCCTAACAATAAGACAGACGACAGTGGGTTCGTGTTACTTTGCCAATCATCGCGCCGTAAGCTCTTTGATCAGTAAGCAGAAGCGCCTAGGAAGTGGCCGAATAAATGGGTATGGGCGTCTGCTCCACCTCGCTCCCCGTCACGTCCACTTGGGGTATTTCGATGCGTGAGTATAAGCCTGTTTCTCTCACCTCCGACCTTGAGGAGGAGGTTGAGACCTTGCTCCAAGGGGCCCCTTTCATGATTAACTCGTGTATAGGTAAATCTTCCGTCCCAGCAGGTCACAGATACCATATAAAATCATCATCTTTGCTATTATTTTCAGATGTGGCAGGCAACAGAGACGAAGCTGCCGGGGACAATGCTCCCACCTTTAGTGCCTGATGCGGATACGGGTCCGCTCGATCCTAGGGAGAAGCGCGGGGCTTCCCCGTTCCGTGAAGAGCAGGTTACCAAGGACGGAAAAGGTGTGAACTCCCTTTTAATTCAAGTAAGAGGAGACAACTCGGCTGAAATGACTTCACCACACTCTTGTTCGTTTTCTTGCAGGTATGTTAGGCAGGCCCGACACAAGTGCTTTCATTGACATGTAGGAAAACCGGGGAATTCCCAGAAAGGGAGGAACCTGATATGGAGGTGTTCCGATCAAGCCACCACGTCAAAGGAGAAATAACCCCTTGACTAATCATCAAAGAAGCGCGAGCTCAGAGCTCTGTCCGAGGGTGAATAGTGTGACTTAGGAAAGGGAGCCCGGAAGCATCACAAATGCTCCTACATCGTGGGCGGGCCCCAAGGAGGGGACACATCGGGTGAAAGGAAGCGATGGGCTAGATCCGTGTACGTCGGAGAAATTACCCGGGTACCTGCAGAAAAGAAGATGAGAAGAGATCTGATCTACTTCACCGATGCCGACTTACCACCCATGCCACCACCGCATAGGGATGCCTTAATGATTAAAGTGGAAATCAACAATACAATCATTCACCGAGCTTCCATTGTTTACGAGAACTCAATAAATGATTATATTGTTGATTTCCACTTTAATCATTAAAGCATCCCTATGCGGTGGTGGCATGGGTGGTAAGTTGGCATCAGTGAAGTAGATCGGATCTCTTCTCATCTTCTTTTCTGCAGGTATCCGGGTAATTTCTCCAACGTATAAGGATCGAGCCCATCGCTTCCTTTCACCTGACGTGTCCCCTCCTTGGGGACCGCCCACGATGTAGGAGCATCTGTGATGCTTCCGGGCTCCCTCTCCTAGGTCACATTCCTCCGGAAAGGAAACCAGGCCCTGCTCCTCTGCATTGTCGAGGACCGTCCTGATTGGTTGAGCTAAAGGTGTCAGATGTTTGGTAGGTAGGAGCAGACAACTCGGAACGTCCGTCCTTCCCTTATTCTTCTTACCTTTGAACCGGCTACCCTTTCCACCAGACTTCCTATCGGCGTCTTCATCATCTGGGTCACCACGTCTTTCCTTGTATTTCGCTTCTTCTTTCTTTCCATCTTCTTCGTCTCTCTTTCTCTGCTCAGTGTCCTCTGCTTCAGCTTGATGGTCTGCCCATCTCAGGGCTTCCTCGTACAAAGTTGGCGGACAAAATCCTCATAAAGTTCTCCTGATCGGATAGAATTCGTCAGCATTGCCACTCCGGTCCTCTCGTCAAAGCCTTGAACCTTGACTGACTCGACCCTCCACCTTGCTAGAAAGGTGGACAGGGCCTCCTTCTTCCTTTGCTTCAGGCTGAACATATGGCTGAAATTCTTCTTCACATCTTGTGAGCCGACAAACCTCAAGAGGAAGTGCCTAGCCAACTCCCTGAAGTTCCCAATGCTCCCATCAGGGAGTGTGTCATACCACCCCCGAGCCGGGTCATATAGGGTAGCTGCTAGTCCTTTGCATCGTATGGCATCTTTGTACCCCATCATGACCATATATGATAGGTAACGTGATATGCGGTGTTGCGGGTCTGAAGTGCACTTGTAAGTGTCCACGTTGCAAGGTTTGTAGCCCCTTCGCAACGGGGCCTCCATCACAGCATGAGTGAAGGGCTCCGGGATGTGGAGGTCGGCCACATGTGGCTCCCCCCCAACAACCTTTCTCCTTGGCTCGTCCAACCTCAATCTGAGATCCTCCACAGCTTCGGGCGCTGGTTCCTCCGGTGCGCGCTCAGCACGGGGCTAGACCCGCATATAGGATTCGGCAACCCTTTCACGCGTGTGAGGTCGACGGCCACCACGATGTCCTTCTAGGAAACCAGTTTGTCCACTCGGATGGCGGGAGTGACGAGAGAAGTCATCCCCGCCTTCCCATGACGATTCTCGGCGGGCCCTCCCCTTCTAGGTCGTCGATTCTCGGGGCATATGCTCCCTCCGGGGCAAGGATTCCCTTCACGATTCGTCCGAAGTGGTACGTTGCCCTTCATATTCCCCAAAGGAAGTCTCAATGTCCTCAGGGGTGGTGTGTCTCGGAGTTTCATGATTTGCTCTTCGCGGCATCATCCCCTGGAAACCCTGAGCCAAAGCCTCAATGGCGTGTGTGTCCTCCTGTGGCGCTTGCACTCCAGCATCGAGTCGATTCGTGCGCGGAGCGCAACGACGGTGACCTCCAATCCAATCATGAATGGATTGTTTATCACGACTGCGGTTCAGCGAACCCCTCAGGTCCCCTGAGCTCGACAAATGGTTCCGGAGATCTCCCGTCAATCTCACGACCTGGCTTCTCACACGATGGCCATCGGGCTGTTCTGAATGCTCGGTGTGGACGGAAACACACTCTTGCTTTGGTGTTCCTGCCATTTTCCTCCTCAAAGATTTTACCAAAAACCGAGAGAATAACTCTCAATGAAAGCACCAATGTTGGTAGAAAATAACTTGAGTAGAAAAACCAGCAGCAATTCGGTACGATAAAAGTGACGTGCCAAATACAAAGAGTGGGCGGCCTATTTATAGGCACTTACAAGAGGCTTGCCTTAAAGCTAATGGGCTTGGCCCAATTAAACAACAAAAACTCCTCCCCCGGCGCCGGCCGGCCCAAGAGTTAAACAAATAATTCAAAGGTCCACCCTCTCTTGCCGGACCGAGGCGTGGGCCTGGTTTAGGCCCGAGCCGAGGCGTGTTGGGTCGATGGTATTTGGCCCGGCCCATTATCCCAACATTATGCTTCTTATTGAATGAGATTTTTCACATTGATACTTTAATCTTATTGTCATTTTGTGGTTATTGAACATTTTTCCTAGATGGTGAAATATCCAAATAATGCTCGAATAACGTCTTTGTCAGATTTTATTATCTCTCTAGACTCTTCTCATCATTCCTAAGTGAATCTGTTACTAGTACATTTTTATTTCTTATAATGAGCTTTTATTGGGTGATTACACCGTTTAGTTGTTAATTTTTTGGTGAGTGAAGGGTCAGTTTGGTACTTGAAGTTGCATAAAAGGGGTCAAATAAGTCCTTATATAGAAGATTATGTCCGGACATGCCATTTGAGGCGGTTCCCGGTGAAATTTTTTGATAAATTTTTTTGAGCATCTTATTCATTAAGTCTAGTTTACTCATACCAAATTTCAGCTAAAAATTTAATCGGGAAGACATTCAAATGAATTCTTGAAGATAACTGCGCTTTTAACTGCACAGTTATCTTCAAGAATTCATTTGAATGCCTTCCCGATTGAATTTTTATCTGAAATTTGGTATGAGTGAACTAGACTTAATGAATAAGATGTTCAAAAAATTTCTTTATCAAAAATTTCCACCGGGAACCGCCCCAAATGGCGACGGCCGGATAGAACCTCCTATATAAGGACTTATTTGACCCTTTTATGCAACTTCGAGGACCAAACTGACCCTTTACTCATTTTTTGGTTAGACATCATGGATGAATCCGGTGGCACTGTAATTGAAGCTCCTGCTTCTAGTAGTATAATAACAAGGAAGAGGAGAAGCAGCATTCCTCATCGACCTAGGCCTGAGATTCAGCTGTTTCTAGAAAGTTATGACCCAGTAACACCAACTTCAAATGATGCTTTTAGGGTCTCCAGTGAGGAAACTGATGTTAGTTCTGGAGGTAAGATGATCAGCCTTAACCAGTGTATATCAAGGGGCTCTCCTACTACTATAGCTGAAAGTGACCATCCAAATAAGAAGATTAAGGATGATCAGGGATCTAGAGTGTCCTACAGCCACGGTGGAGTAGGAGATGATGCCCATCACGAACTGAATCCTACCAGACAATTGGGAACAACTCAAAACAGTATAGGAAGCGACAATAAGCTCAAGAAGGTTGAGCTGAAGGTCGGTGGGGACGTGGGGTAACATGTAGTATTCAAGCCAAAGACAATCCCTATGGTACTTCTGGTGATGGATCTTCCTCGAAGGGTTCTCGACCTTCTGATACCTCTCGTTCAGGTCAGAAACTTACCATTCAGATGTACACACATAATTGTCCTTTTTATCAAGTGATTCGTTAGCAAAAGGATTTCAGAAAACGTCATTTTGTAATACACTTTATGTGGATGAGTGGAGGTGAAGAAAGTTCAGTTGCATATCGCGATGGAATTGTATCAAGACTCCTTCAGCTGTCATCATGGCAGACAGGCAGAGGAAATAAAATTTAACTTTGATTATCTTTATTAGAGGGGAATAATATTTCACTTATTTAAACGAGGCAAATATGCAATTCTTTATCTTTTAGATTGTAGGATTGTATGGGGCTCTTTTCTCTAACTAGAAGACAGATTCATGAGAGGTTAAATGTTTCTCATATAGACTGGAGTTTTTGAATTTAGTTTGAATTATTAGACATTTAGACCACATTAGACATTTTTCGCCTTGTTAGTCGTCCATATAGCTACTGTATTTTATATAGTTCATCTGAACTTTTGCTTTCAATCACAGGACAATTCAGGAGAGGGTTATTCTCTTTCAGATAAGAAAACCCATTACCCAATGAAAGATATGTCTAGGGGGTTTATTGATTCTAGCAGGGAGGGTAACAGGAAGACATCAACCAAAAACACTGCTAAAGAGTCAGATTCCGTGAGGAAGAGCAAACGGGTTCTAAAGAGGCGTGTTTTGGATGGGGCATTTGACGAAGATGAAGAAGAAGATGATGAGATCCGGTATCTGGAAAAGCTGAAAAAATCAAAAGTTTTTGGGGTTAGGGATTTTGAAGAGGAACCTGCCAACAAACATCGGAGTCTCTCTAGGGTTTCTAAAAGTGTTGAAGAGATTGGAGGATTGACCAAAGATGGTAAGAAGAGATCATTTGATAAAAGTTCTGAAGACACTGACTATGAAGAGGAGAAAGAAGTGTTGTTGTCTGATGGGGAGCGTGAAGCAAAAAGGAAACAAAAACAGAAAAAGGATTCCCCACCTAACACGCAGACAGAATCTAAGAGGGAAATAGCTCTTACAACACGCCAACATGCTCTTCTCTCAGGCAAGGAGCCATCTGCTGGTGTGAGTAAGGTTGAGTTCCCTAATGGGTTGCCTCCACCCCCATCTCGAAGTAAGTGTGCTGTTTTTATTTATTTCCCTATAACTGTGCTTGCTTGGATGACTTTTAAAGAAGGAAAATAAAAGCTTGCAAGTTGACAAAAAGGTCAAACTGTGCTGGATTCTATGAAACTTCAGCTAAATGGCTTTAATTTGTATTTACAGTAGGTAAAATAACTTTAAGTAACACCAAACTTTTTGCTAGACTAAAAATGTAACAGCATTTACGTAATAGGATTTGTTTTTATGCGTTGGCAAAAAGGTCAAAGTATGGTATGTGATTGGTGCATAAATAAAAAAGTTGAAACTAATATAAAGAAAAATGAAGCTAGGAATGCCATTCTCTTTAATTTTAGACAAAAATGTGACTCCCAATATTTTTTTCATGACCAGCTATTCAGCTCATCAAGCCAGTGTAGTAAATTTAGTGCTTGGTGAAAATATAGATGATAAGCTTGAAAAGAGGTAATACCAAATGAGCTCTAAATGCCTTATTTCTGCTGATTATTTGCACTGTTACAGAACAAAAAGAAAAACTCACTGAGGTGGAGCAGCAACTAAAGAAAACTGAAGCCGCACATAGGCGTAGAATGCAAAATGAGAAGGCAGCTCGATAATCAGAGGTTTTCCCTTTGGCTATTTTCTTGTTTAAACTTACTGCCACTCTCATGTGTTGAGAATTTTATTAATGAAGTAAGCCATATCTATCATATTGATAAAACAGGCTGAGGCAATTAGAAAAATACTTGGTCAAGACTCAAATAGAAAGAAGAAAGAGGACTAAGTGAAGAAGCATCAAGAAGAGTTGGCCCAGGTATGCAAGTGTGCATTTTAGAGGTCATATTCATGATAGATGCTATCAAGCATTACCACCCCCATTTAAATTGATATATCTACCTATACCTTTATAGGAGAAGGCTGCTAAACATCAGAAACCGTCATAATCATCATGAGCCCTATAGTGAAAGTAGTGACATTTCCAATGGAGATGGGTTTACCCCTTATATTCGGATCCAAACCCCACAGGTAAAAATATCTACGACCTCTGTTCACACGTAGAGGCCGTTTGGCAACACTGTTTTTCGGCTTATCAAGCTTATCAGTCAACTTTTTCACCAAACACTTGGAGTTACTTTTCTGGCTATATTGGCTGAAGTTACTGTTGATAACCATTTTAGCTATTTTTACATATAATTTTTTCTTTATTTTATTAATAAAATAAAATAATTTTTTCTTATATCAGCAGAATCGGCCAATGCAACCACTTCAGTCAGAACTTCATAAGTTTCAGTAAAATAAGCCAAAACAGCCAATTTTTGTGCTACCAAACGGGCTCGTAGTTGCACCAATAGGGTTTCACGGAATCTAGTGTAAAATTGAAGATGTTGTGAATAGTAGAAAAAGTAAAACCAGCAGGAGAGAGGTGTGAAAAATAAGGATATTTACGTCTTCTGATACAATGCTCAACAACAACAACAACATCCAAGCCTTAGTCCCAAACGATAATGGGGTCGGCTAACATGAATCGATATAAGATATCACATTATCACCAAAAGGAAAAGAAAGAAAATAAAGATAAAAAGATAAGCTATTATAAAAAAAGATAATATAAAAGAGATGAATATACATATAAAAGATCAAATAAAAAAGGATAAAGTAATATTTATATATAAGGATAAAGATATAAAAGAAAAAGAAAAGAAGAAGAAGAAGAAGAAGAAGAAGAAAAAAGATGATACAAGATCACTCCTCAACACGAATACCCGCCCTCCATTTTGCTCTCTCCAAAGCCATACCCTCATCCAATCCAAGAAGAAGCATATCACTTCTGACTCCCCTAACCCACGTCTGTTTGGGCCTTCCTCTCCCTCTCTTCCCTACCTCTTCTCCACACATCTCAACTCGTCTGACAGGTGCATCACTCGGTCTTCTATGCACATGACCAAACCACCGTAGGCGTGACTCCCGCATCTTATCTTCAATAGGTGCTACTCCCACCCTTTGTCTAATTGTCTCATTCCTCACGCGGTCCTTTCTAGTATGCCCACACATCCAACGCAGCATGCGCATCTCTGCCACACTCATCTTTTGAATGTGACATTGTTTCACTGCCCAACACTCCGTGCCATACAGTAATGCCGGCCTAATTGCTGTCCTATAAAATTTACCCTTCACTCTAGTCGGCATACCTCGATCGCATAGAAATCCTGACGCACTCTTCCACTTCATCCACCCTGTTCTGATTCTATGGGATACATCTCCATCTAACTCACCGTCCTTCTGAATTATGGAGCCCAAATAACGGAACATATCGCTGACTGGTATCTCCTTACCATCTAAAGTAATTCCGCTATTACCACTGCTTCTACCTCCACCAAACTTGCACTCCATGTACTCTGTCTTGCTCCTACTTAGTCTGAAACCCTTGTTCTCCAATGTCTGTCGCCATACTTCCAACTTTGCTTTAACCCCTGATTGCGTCTCATCAATCAATACAATATCGTCGGCAAACATCATGCACAACGCAAGGTTGTCACGGCGTCGACTAGGCGTCGCCTAGGCGCCGACTAGGCGTCGCGGCGATGAAGAGGCATCGACTTGGGAGATCGACTCGCCAGAAGTTCACCAGTCGCGTATGGCGTCGCCAAGGCGTCGTCCTGACGTGAACTTCTCGACTTGTGGCCGCCTATTTTAGCCCAGTCGAAAGTCGTCCGCAGGCCCAAAAGCATATTAAGGTTTAATTTTTTTTAGGAAACACATTTAATTAAGGTTTTAAGTTAAGGCGGTGGCCTTCTAATTAAATACATAGCCCGAAGCCATCGATTAACTCACAAATCACAGAAGCAACGATTGACTTCAGAGGGAAGAAGAAGTCGCCGGTCAAGCCATAGCCATAGCCACCTCCCTGTCCGTCGTTGAAGGTTGAAGCATACGACCACCAGTTGAGTAACGATTTGTTATCTAATCATATTTATGATGAGCAATTTTTATCTATAAAAAATTATAAGAAGCAGATAACTTCTGTACCGATAAGGTACAGAGTACAGAGTCTACAGACTGTCTTTGCCTCATACTCGTTTTAAAAATAACATACTCGTTTTAAAAAACATTTTAATCTGTCAAATATTTTTCTATGTGATCGTTTTTCATCCACTTGGGAGTTCGAAACAAAAATAAAATTTTAGCACCGCAAATTGACTTCCTCATTCTTTGTAATAAAATCTGCAATTTGATTGTGAATTTGTGGTTTTATATTATATATTTATATGTTTTTTTTCAAGTTATTTATATTTTATAAAGTATGAAATATTTAAACCATTAATTTATTATATGTAAATATGTAATATACATATAATAGATATACTGAGCTCGTATTAGTTTAATAATAAACTATGAAATATTTAAACCATTAATTAATTATATGTTATCAAATTATAAACTATTAAACTATTTCAAAAAATATTTTATATACAATTAGTTAATTACGTATACATATAGTTCAACCTTTTGTTTGTATTAGTTCTTATTTGTTAGTTGGATAGTTAATTTTTCATTATTTTATTTTAAACCTTTTTTTTATACACAATAGATATGGCGGACAATGAAGGTGACACCGTGTATGATCCAGCTAATGATCCCGCTAGAAGAGCAAAATCTAATGATCCAGGATGGAATCATGGATTTTGGCCAGACATGAACAACAAAGACATAGTCCAATGTAGGCATTGTAATAAGCAAATGTCTTCTGGCATAAAGAGATTAAAACAACATCTAGCTGGCGGGTATGGAGATGTTTCTAAATGCCCTCATACGACAACAGAACTTATGACGGAGATGCGAGCATATTTAATGAGGAAATCCAGGAGTAAACCGATCCAGATTGAAGATGACGGCGATGAGGATGATGCTGAAGTACCTTTCACTCAAATAGATACTTCAACTTCTCAACCGAGTTCTGGGACAGCAACCAAGAGAAAAAATGCTGCTTCGCAATTCTTTAATGTCCCACCAAAAATGCCCAAACAAAACAAATCAATTGCCTCCATCATTCGCAAAACTCCCGAGGAGGTTGTTGATGAAAGACATGCGAAAGGCCCCACCCAAACTACACTAGAACAATGCACAAAAAGCAAGGAGGAGAAAGAGAGGGTCTTCAGGCACATTTCTGATTTTTTTTATGAAAACGGCATTCCCTTTAATGCAGCAAACTCCAGGAGTTATGAGATCATGGTGGAGTCGATTGGGCAGTTTGGACCAGGACTTAAACCTCCTAGCTATCATGAGTTGCGTGTACCACTTCTTGAAAAAGCAAAGAAAAATACAGAGAAGCTCAGAGAAAAACATGAACTTGCTTGGAAGGAATACGGGTGCACACTCATGTCTGATGGATGGTCTGACCGAAAGAATCGACACTTGATTAATTTCCTTGTCAATAGTCCAGAAGGCACTTTTTTCCTAGACTCGGTTGATGCATCAGGTGAATCTCAAGATGCAACATTGCTGGCAGGTTTGCTTGAGAAAAAAATTGAAGAAGTTGGAAAAGACAAGGTAGTGCAAGTGGTGACAGATAACGGCTCTAACTATAAGGCTGCGGGAAAACTTCTAGAGCTCAAGATTCCCACGCTTTATTGGACTCCATGCGCTGCACATTGTTTGGATTTGATGTTGGAGGATATCGGTAAATTAGCCGAGTTCAAGCCCCACATTGAAAAAGCAAGACGTGTGACTACTTTCATTTATCGGCACACGAGAATCCTCCATTCAGTGAGACAAAAGACGGGTGGGAAGGATCTTGTAAGACCTGGAGTTACTAGATTTGCAACAGCGTTTCTCACTTTGCAATCTCTATATAAACACAGAGAAGCATTGAGAAATCAATTTAGCGGTCTGGATTGGGGTAGATCTAAATTGGCTGCCACAGAAGCAGGAAAGAGGGTCAGTGAGATTGTGTTGTCTACTAGATTCTGGAGTGCAGTGGAAGACTGCATACGAGCTTCACAGCCGCTTTTAGTTGTCTTGAGGATAGTTGATGTTGATGAGCAACCAGCTATGCCAGAGCTTTCACTAGCCATGGATTGTGCCAAGAAAAAAATCAGTGAGTCATTTGAAAATAAGGCTAGAGTTTTGAGAAGCCTAGTTGGGATCATTGAGACACGATGGGAAGTCCAGATGGAGGTCAAATTATACGGGGCAGCTTTATTTTTAAATCCGTCTAAATATTTTGATCTCAAACAGACTGATCCCACATCAGCATCAAGGCAACGATCAATGTTTAACGATGTGCTTGAAAAGATGGTCACTGATGAAACATTGCAGGCCAAGATAAGTGATCAAGCGACAGATTATGACAAATTGAGAGCAAGTTTTGCAAAGCAACTCGCGATTAGGCAACAAAAATCTAAGAGTCCTCGTAAGTGATACTTTTTATATATTTGAAAATTAGTTTAAACTTTAAACATATTAAAAATTAATTAATATTTTATTTGTGATTAATTTAAAGTTGATTGGTGGGATGCTTTTGGTGGACTCGCTGTTGAGCTGCAATCGTTCGCAAAACGCATAGTTGGTCTTTGTTGTACCTCTTCTGGCTGTGAGCGTAATTGGAGCACTTTTGAGTTTGTAAGTAATAGACTTACAATTTTGAATATTAACTACAATTTTTAAATTACACAAGATTTTAACTAATTAAATCAAAACACTTATCAAATATGTTTTTAATCTTTATTTTAGATTCATACAAAAAGAAGAAACAGGTTGGAGCATAAGAGGTTGAATGACTTGGTTTTTATTCAATATAATCAGAAGATAGCGACCAGATTTCAGAAGCGGCGTGAAGAAGGAACAAACTTCAACCCTTTAATATATGAAGATTTCCAATGGAACAATGAATGGGTCAGCAATGACGTTGTTCATCCCGTTGATGATCTTCTTTGGAGTCAAGTTGATGAAGTTGTGGGTGCATCAAGCAATCTTCAGGGTCGTAATCTTCCTAGGACTAGTAGCTCTCGTGGAGAATCGGTTTATTCTCGATGCCGTGGTTCAAATTCTTCATTAAGGTTGATTGATGAAGACATGAACAACGAGGAAGAAAGTTTTCCAAATGATGATGAAGATGTTGAAGATGACTATGGCCAAACACCACCCACTCCTACTCATGATGATGATGATCAGGGCAATGAAGGCCGTAGAGATGATTTAGTCCTTGATGATTTTTGATAAATTAGTAGTTCGATCTTTACACTGCTTATTTGAGATATACATTTTTAATCTTAATTCCCATTAATAAACCTTGTTTTTAATTATTAATTGTGGATTTCAATTCTAAGTTATATGCGTTTTAGTTAGTAATATATTATACATAATATATAATTAAATATATAATTATATATGTAAATATATAATTATATATATAATATAATATATACATATAGGCGACTACTCGCCTAATTGTCGCCTAGGCGGGAGCCTTGTCGCCTAGGCGATATGACGGTCAGCTGGCGCCGCGACTCGACTTACCGCCGTGACAAGCATGGCACAACGGTATATCGTCTTGAATTGACTTTGTAAGTTCATCCATGACTATGGCAAATAAAAAAGGGCTAAGAGCCGATCCTTGGTGCACTCCGATAGTAATAGGGAACTCCGCAGTCCTCCCTACACTAGTACGGACACTTGTAGTACAATCCTCATACATATCCATGATGATGCTGATATACTTGCGTGAAATGCCTTTTCTAGTTAAGGCCCACCAAAGAACTTCTCGAGGTACCCTATCATATGCCTTTTCTAGGTCAATGAACACTAAATGCAAATCCTTGTGAGCGTCTCTATACTTCTCCATAAGTTGCCGAAGAAGGTGAATAGCCTCAGTTGTTGAGCGACCAGGCATAAAACCAAATTGATTCTCTGAGATCTTCACCGTTCTTCGAAGTCTTTGCTCAATCAATCGCTCCCAAAGTTTCATGGTATGACTCATAAGCTTAATCCCCCGATAGTTGGCACATTCTTGTACATCACCTTTATTCTTAAATAAGGGAATAAGAGTACTCTTTCTCCAACTCGCTGGCATCTTGTTGTTTCTCCAAATTTTGTTGAAGAAATTTGTTAACCACCTGATGCCTCTCTCTCCCAAACTTCTCCAAGCCTCGATCGGTATGCCATCTGGACCCACTGCTTTCTTCCGCCCCATCTTCCTCACAGCCTCTTTAACTTCCGTTGGTTGGATCCTTCTCACAAAATCACGATTTACCATACAATCTGGTATGGTCAAATCATCGATATCTTGCACTTTGTTCCCGTTGAACAATGTATCAAAGTATGATCTCCACCTCTCTTTTATCTCTCTGTCCTCCATTAATATCCTTTGATCAACATCCTTCACACACTTAACTTTTCCGATATCTTGAGTCCTGCGATCACGAAGACGAGCAAGTCTATAGATCTCTTGTTCTCCTTCCTTAGAGTCCAATTTTTCATACAACTCCTTGTTCACTTTCCCTTGTGCTTCTTTTACGGCTTTCTTTGCTTGTCTTCTAGCCTCCTTGTAAGCTTATATGTTCTCATCACTCCGACTTATCCCCAACTTTTTGTAGCAATCTCTTTTGTTCCTTATGGCTTGTTTCACCTCATCATTCCACCAAGACGTGTCCTTTTTGGGTGGCAAACATCCTTTAGATTCCCCAAGTACCTCCTTTGCCACTTTGTTAATGGTCAGCTCCATCGATAACCACGCATCCTCCACCTGTGTTCCATTATCAATACGCCATACATCTTCACCGAACATTTTGTGTGTAAAGCTTTGTTGAAGATCCCCTCAAGCCTCCACCACTTAATCTTTGGCTCCACTTATTGCTTAACTTGTCTTCTATGGTTCTTACCTCGAAAGTCGCGCACAAGCATCCTATGCTGAGTGACAACACTCTCACCTGGGATAACCTTACAATCGGTGTAGCTAGTTCTCCAAGTAGTACGTACTAAGAAGTAGTCAATTTGGGTACTATTAGCTCCACTTCTATAGGTTACAAGGTGAGAGTCTCTTTTCCTAAACCAAGTGTTCATTATAGCCAACTCATACGTCGAGGCAAAATCCAAAATGTTCTTTCCCGCTTCATTTCTAGTGCCAAAACCATGTCCGCCATGAATACTCTCAAAGCCATCACGAATCGAGCCCACATGCCCGTTGAGGTCGCCTCCTATGACCAACTTCTCTCCTCTTGGCACTCTTCGCACCACATCTTCAAGATCTTCCCAGAACTGTTGAGTTGTAGATGCATGTAATCCCACTTGTGGTGCATAGGCACTTACCACAGACACAATCTCACCCCTCATCACCAATTTAATGCTCATGATGCGATCGTTCTTCCTGAAGACTTCTACCACATCCTCTGATACAATGCTCAATTATAATAAAAAAAGGAAGAAAATTAAATACTTTTTTCTTATGGATTTGTTGTGAAATTTCAGTTATCCACCTCCTCGTGAAAAGTGTGCTGGTCTTTCATGTTTGAACCCATACAAGTACCGTGACTCCAAGTCGAAGCTCCCTCTGTGCAGTCTCAATTGATACAAGGCCATTCATTCTCAGATGGATGTCGAAAAGGTGTGCTGACAATGTGAGGGCTCGCAGTGCAGAAGAGCTAGGAATAAATTAGCCACAATGGAACTTATTGCATTTCCAAGCAGTATATGCTTGGAAATATAATGTAATGCCATGGTTTAGCCCCTCTCCTCCCGTATCGTTGCTCGTATTCTTGTGACTGTTTTTCATGGAGATGTGGTAGTCTTGAGCTATGTTATCTGTTATGGTGGATATCTGTTTCATTTTGGCCAATGCCGGTATTCAAGGAAAAGATCGTTTTTTATTGAATTTAAAGAAACTTGTCGATGATTCGATACTTTTGAAAAAAACACCTGTTAGTTTATAAGAAAAAGATAGAAAATGGCAAAGTAGGATTAAAATATGCTGAAAATGAAAATATAAGATCATGAATTATCCGATGATACCATAGTATGGTAATCAAGTGATAATGTCATTAAGTCATATTTTCATGATCTAATGTCTTCTTGAATTAAAATTAAAGTCATCTCGAAGGTCATTTTATTGGCATATTAACTTGCAAGAAAATACTGCTAAAAATGTCATTTTAGTAATAAATATATCATCTTGATTGTCAATGTATAGAAAAATGTCATCTTGAGTGTATCATGTAGATTAAATCAAATATGGAATTGAAAATTGACATCTTAAGTCTCAACTAGTAATAAAAATGTCATCTCTATTATATATAACATGTCATTTTAATTGTAACATGTGAATAATATAAAAAGTTCTCTATAAGGTTTGACGGAAGGTGCAACAGTGCAACCTGTCTGTGATAGGGTTTATGGTGCCGTAGTCTTTTCGTCGGCGTGACTAGGGGTGTAAACGAATTGAATTGAACCGAATACTTGATAATATTATTCGTATGATTATTGAATATTCGTATTCGTTTAAAATTCAAATCTTATTTTATACTAGTCGTCCTACGCGCGTTGCGCGATAGGAAGATGCCCAATAATAATACTTTGTATGACTTAAAAGCGGTATCATGGATTCATGGTTTTATGTAATGCTCCTCCCATTCCTTTTTATTTAGTAAAATTTGATAATTAAGGGGTATCATAAATTTATAAACATCTAATTGTTTTTTTTGTATGGAAGAAATCTAATTGTTTTTTATAATTCTATTGTTCATGAATGTCACAACCTAAACTATCATACATACTGATAGTAAGAGATACCAAAAAACACCAATCATTGCCTTGTTGATCATTTATGCATGTCTAAATGAGAAGCCCACCAATCGATGTATAGATTTAAGTTCTCCATATGATAATTTTATGCATTAATTGTATCCCACCCCTTTTCTCAAATTTTGCAAAATTTGATAAGTTTAACTTCTTTGAAAAGTCAAACACTGGCTTAGAATGTTTTTAGGTTTGAAATTTTGAGGTTTGAAACTTGGACTGAAATTTTTAGGTTTGCTCTGGTGTGGTCTGTTTAAGTCTGATTCTGTCTGAACTGGTCGGGTTTGGCAGCCCGGTCTGATAGATATATAGTGTGTGTGTGTGTGTATTTTATACTACCTTCATCCCGACAAGATTGTCTCATCTTTCTTTTCCAAGTCATCCCACTAAGATCGTCTAATATCTAATTTAGTAGAATTTGTATGGATTTACTTTATAAATTCAATGTCAACCACATAAATTCATTTTTCCTAATAACTACTGCATCAACTCCTCATATATATCTCAATGTTAGTGGAAGTGTGGAGCGGAGATAGTAACTGTCAAAGTCTATTCTGTTTGACTGTTTAAGTTTGAATTGGTCTGGTGTGAGTAATAGTTTGGTACTATTGGAAAATTTATCAAAAAGCACCTAAAAAGTTCACGTATTCAATCTACTTTTTTCATTTTTTATTATAGAATATATGAAACGGTAGTGGTTCTTCACCTGGACCAATCCTAAAACAACCCCATAATTGTATCGAATTGAAATGTTCAAAGTGTCCCCAAAAAACCAATTCATCATACGATAGTATATTATTATGATCCGCGTTTCATTCCCTCTTTCTCTTATAAATTTGTCATATTTCCTGATTAGTCACACTTTTAGAAATAAAAAAAGATCCGCGTTGTATATTATCTGCTCCACTTGCCCCCTATTTTTGTCCCGTTTACCTTTTTCGTCCGTCCTGCTAACTTTGTCTCATATCATATTTGGTAAAATCTGAATAACTACCATTCATTTTTTTACACTTTATCAATTTAATAATATCCACACATTTTCACTTTTCCTTATAATCGCACCACTCCCTTTTGTCCCAATGTTATGGGACTGAGGTAGTATGTTTTAGTAATATTAATATTGTATATGATTGGCTTTCTTGTCGGGCGAGCCTAACAAGAATCATCGTGAGGCTGCCTCCATTTTTTTTTGAGTTAAATAAATTATTGAAAATCGCTAGATCAAAATTTATACAAAAAGCACAATTTTTTTCGAGAATATTTTTAACCGAATGAAATTTAATGATATATTATACACTTCATACAGAACATGCTCAGAAATTACATAAGGAAAATTCACTGGTAGCCACCTCAAATGAAGGTTGCCGCATAGTGGTTATTATTAGGACGGCCCAACAGAAAGATTATCTATTAATATCAAAACATCATAAATATAACTACTTCTATTTGTACACCTTTTCTACTAAGTATTTGGAGCAATTTTTTAGGATTAAAATCCCAAATCAATCACAAAATGTAGGAATAAACTGATAACATACTACGTATTATTTTAAAAGGGGAGTTGGAGCAATTGAGAAATAACAACTTTCAAATTAAACGTATATTGTTTGCCAAAAACAATAAACGTATATCTATATGATAATTTTTATATCAAATTTTATGTGATGGATGATAAATAATAATGAGTATGGAGTAGAAGAGTTATTTTTTGATAAATTAAAGACGGGGATTGGAGTATTGGACCAATGAGATTGGAGTATATAGATAGACCACTCTTCCAATTTCATTAATGTTCCTAGACAAAAACCTTAAGATGAATACCGGAGATCAAACGGAAAGACTAATAACCAAAGGTTTTGATTTTTACGGACAACATACATAGCATAGAGTACAATTAAGTATTGCTTTATGGTACACCAACACATTTTACATTCCTAAATAGCCCTACCCTCATACACCTTTATAAGTTTGCAGAGATTCGTATTCGATTCGTTCGATATATTCGAATATACTCGAATCCTTTTCGAATCGAATTCGAAAAACATTAAAGTTAAATTGTGAAAATAATTAAAATTATTATGTATAGTTTGCTCCTTTTAACTCATTTTCATATTACATACTATCTTCGTCCCTCTAAGTTTGGGACAAGACAAGGTGACACGGTTATTAATAAAAGTGGGTTTAGAGCATCTCCAATGCTATAATGTCCACGGTGCACATGTGGCATGAGTGATAGCCACATAAATATTAGCAAATAAATTATTTCTCTCCTTATTTGAATGATTTTATACAATTTTGGTAAGTTTTCCCGGCAATGTCAACAACAATGTCAATATCTAGACGGTCTCTTTGACAGTGTGGAGAAAAACTTACCAAAACTGTATAAAATCATTCAAATAAGGAGAAAGAATTTATTTACTAATATTTATGTGACTATTTTTCATGTCACGTGTGCACCGTGCATATTTTAACATTGGAGATGCTCTTATGTGGTTGATATTGAATTGATAAAGTAAGAATAAAGTAGGAATGATTTGAAACCACACAAACTTTATCGAATAAGGTATGAGACAATCTTAGTGGGACGGACCGAAAAGGTAAAATGGGACAATCATAGCGGGACGGAGGGAGTATTTCATACGAAACAAAATATATTTACACAAGTCACTTCAAATTTAATATCAATATAAAGAAATCAACAGAGAATTTTAATTGTAAATTAAGCTATTTTTACCAGGTAAAGTAAGAATGTTTAAATTAAAATATGAAAAATATTTACATGAATATTATGTTATTAATATTTTTACATTGAATTATATTTATTTATAAGAAGTAGTATATATTGTATGAATATATAATATAGGAAAAAGATCATGTCCATCCGGATGGACAAGAGCCTCCGTCCGGCCGAAGCCATCAGAGGTCCTTCCTGGTGAAATTTTTTGATGACATTTTTTGAGCATGTTCTTCATGAACTATAGTTTATCCATACCAAATTTCAGTTAAAAATTCAACCGAAAAGGCACTCAAATGATTTTTGGAAGATGACTGTGTTTTATATGTATATAAAGTGCGCAGTTAAATTCCAAAAATCATTTGACTGCCTTCTCGATTGAAGTTTTAGCTGAAATTTGGTATGGATAAACTAGACTTGATTAAGAACATGCTCAAAAATTTTCATGGAAACATTCCACCGAGAAGGGCCCCAAATAGTAAAGTTCGGACAGAGCCTCTCGTCCCTCCGGATGGACCTGAGCATTGCTCTCTCTCTCTCTAACTATATATATATATATATATATATATATATATATATATATAATTCGAATATATTTGAATATTATTCGAATCGAATATCATAGTATTTGTATTCGTATTCATAAAGTATTCGAATAAAAAAATAGATTTGTATTCGTATTCGTATTCTACTTACACGAATTCGAATCGGCATTTTCGAAATCGAATCACGAATCGAATCCAAATTATTCGATTCGTTTACAACACTAGGCGTGACTAGGTTTTGGTAGGTTGCTTTCTTCTCGCGATTGCAACAAAAGGGAAGAATGGAGGAGGATGATGCATGGTTAATGTGGAGTTCGACTGGTGGACTGGTTCCCTTTGCAAGAGGACACGCGGTTGCAAACAGGAAGGTGGGCTTTGGCGGTTGCGGTTGAGGGGCCAAGTGGACCAGGGAGTAGTTGTGAGGCACAAAGCTGGCGGTTGCAAACAGGAAGGTAGGCAAAATAGATGATCCTGAATCACGGTCATGCAGTCAACGTGTTTCTTGGACAGTTTTGAAAAAGAAGATTTAAGTTTGTTTTATTCTTATTTCAAGTTTTATCTTTCTTTCGCTAGACAATTTATTTGATTCTCAGATTGTTTGTGTTTGTGGTAGTTTTCAGATGTTTAATTTAGTTATGATCAAAGGTAATTGCCTCAAAACTACGATATGTTCAACGAAAAGCTTCGCTCAGTTTTGGCCAAACTTTTCTATGTCTGAATAGGGATGAAGGCAATTCTTTGATTCTTATTAGTCTATTGAAGTGGTGAAGAGTGCGGTGACCTTAAAGGTCTATAAGAACGTTGTGTTGTCTATTTGATGATCAACAATTCATGTTGTTTTTTCGGAGGAAGCCGTCTCAAAATCTGATCGTAGGACGTCTCTTGAATTAAATACATTTTTTTGAAGGATAGGTTATGGTTTTGGAGCTATTGGTTCATTGTAACTGTTGTTCATTTGATGTTTTAATATTAGTCTAATTTTCTTATAAAATAAAACTGTAAAGCGTGAATAATTTGAACACGGGTATGTAGATATTGCACAAATGTGATATATTTTGAACAGTAGCATACCATTATTAAGACGAGAATAGAATACAGACCATCATATGATAACATCTATAGTTATATATAGTCACACAATTTTAAAAAGCTGACATGTCACTCCCTTATTGGCTAAAAACTACTCTATTAAAACATGTTTTCTTATTGCAATTATTTATGTAGGACACTACATAATATATTTTATCTTGAGTGTATCATGTGAATTAAATTAAATATGGAAATTCAAAAGTGACATCTGAAGTCTCAACTAGAAATAAAAATGTCATTTCTATTATATATATAACATGTCATTTTAACCGTAACACGTGAAGAATATAAAAAGTTCTCTATAGGGTTTGAGGGAAGGCGCAACCTTTCTGCGATAGGGTTTTTGGTGCCGCAATCTTTTCGTCGGGGTGACTAGGTTTTGGTCGGCTGTTTTCTTCTTGCAATTGCAACAAAAGGGAAGAATGGAGGAGGAGGACGCAGGGTTAATGTGGAGTTCGACTGGTGGACTGGTTTCCTCTGCAAGAGGACACGCGACTGCAAACAAGAAGGTGGGCTTTGGCGGTGTCGTTGATGTTGAGGGGCCAAGTGGATCAAGGAGCAGTTGTGAGTCAATTACTTATTAAAGCTCATAATGTATGTTAACACACTACTCATAGCAATTACTTATGTAGTGGTGTCAATTTCTCAGATGTCTTTTATATTCTGTATTGGTTAATAGTTGGTGCTCCTCTATTGAAAATGCAGCTGTGGAGATGGTCATCAGGTGAACCTCCTAGGCAAGGAGATGGTCAATGTGGTAACATGAGGCTGCTCTTGAGGTAGCAACAACGGGTGAATCCTTTTACCTGCTATAGAATTGCTTATTGTTCAAGTTACTTATAATAACAACACAAGGAGTAATTATTTTTCTTTCTGGTCCTTATAGTCACAGATCCTCTTGGCAAGATCTGATGTGGCTGGATGGGGTGCCTTTATGAAGGTACAAAACCCTTTCTCAATGACCTCTCAATACTCCTTGTCTATAAATTAATATATGATTCTACATCTTTATAGACTCTACGATTACCGTTACGGCCCTGATTAGGCACCCTTATGGGCTCGCAAACCTGACCACCACTTGAAGAGATACGGTTCTTCATTACCACCACCCCAACAAGTTCGTGCAAAGAAGCACCACCAAACGCTTCAGTAATCATTCACTAAAAAACCACGGAGTATATATTTAGCCGGAATTGTCTGAGCCAGGATGTCTGTCTCCCTTTCATTTGTATTTTGATGTAAACAGAAGTACAATATTAGTACGATATTGTACCTAAATCCGATTAAAGTACGTACTAGTCATTCACCCGTGGGTTGCACGGGATAACAAACTAATCAAAATGTGATTGAATTTAGGGGTGGGCAAAGTGGTTCGGTTTAACCGAACCGAACCGAACCGTGTCATACCAAAATAAATCGAACCGAAACTGAACCATATGTAATTTGGTTTGAGTTTGGTAGTAATTCTTCTAAAACGTATTAAACTTAACCACACTGAAACCAAATAAAACCGAACCAAACTAAAAATATCAATGAAACCTTCATATTTTATTAAGAAATAACAAATTCAAACTTAATCGAACCAAATCGAAATATAATATGATTTTTGTTTGGCAATAATTCTTCTAATCTGTTCCAAACCCAACTGAACCCCTAATTGAACTATAAACTATACAATCAGAAAGTTGTAGCATACCTTACTCCAAAACTATAATAAAAGAATATGAACTACTTTTGTGGTATGAAATTGTTTTTGAGACAGTTGGTGCAAGTAATATTTTGTTTATAAAAATGTGACTTCTTAAGTGCGGTGAATTAGTGATTATTGAAGAAATTTATTCATTGTAATTTATGTTCAACTTTTACTCATAATGACTATCACTTTAAACTATAGTAACTTGTAATCAAATTTTGTAAATAAGTTTTATTTTAGTAATACTTTATAAATGATTTAATAATTACGTAATACTACTCAATTCTTGTACGAAGTATGAAACCTAGTACTCCCTTCGTCTCGCTAAAATTGTCAGATCTTTTCTTTCGATCCACCCTTCTAAGATTGTCTCATAACAAATCTGGTAAATTTTGCATAGTTCCAAATCATTCTTACTTTTTCCATACTTGATCGATTTCAGTATTAAGCACAGACTCATTTATCTTAATAGTCGCACCACCTCTACATGTCCCAATGCTAGAGGGACGAAAGTAGTACTCATATCATTTTTCATCATATGATCACCTCTTCTTACTCGCTCTATCTGAAAATAAAAACACAACTTAGACATTCAAAATCAATTTTTTAAATCAAACGTTCTAGCCTAATTAAAGAACAACTTAAACAGATCAAACTTCTATCAAAACAAATCATACATTTGAGATGTGATTTAAATAAATCACACCAAATCATAAAATTTTGATTTATCCAATTTAAAATGGAAGATAGTGAAAATTTAATTCGGATTTTAATTTTGGGCCGAGTGAAAATTTCATACCACAAAAGTTATTTTTAAAAAAGGGCCAAGTGTTCTAAACACGGGAAAATAATGATTATTCATTAAACCTTATTATTTTTTCCTCCGTATATTTTATGCTCAATTGTAGGTTTATCACGGATCTTTATATAATGTAAAGTAGCAGAGTCGCTACAAGTTTTGGAGGCAAAATTACCGCCTAAAAGGGGTAAAAATGTAATTTAAGTTCATTGAAATATGTACTGCCGCCCATATGAAATGTGTGAGCCTTGATTGTTTTTTTTTTTTACATAAATAGCACATTTATTGCTCACATATATGCTCAAGTCTTACCGTATGTGTTAAATAAACTTGCCATTATGGAATCCATAATTGATTCCATAAAAATATCAATCCATATTTACCATATATACTATCAATCCATATAATGATGATAATGATCCATAATAATAATAATTATAAATTTGAGTTTTGACCGCCCATGTTCACTTGAAGGCAGCATTGACACTGAATCTGATGAAGCGCACGCTCAAAAGTTTTTTAACATCGTCAATTCATCGTCCATTTTTAAAACGATCCAATTTTCTTTTTCTTACAAATTACCACTACTTCCGTCCCAACTTGATTTGCAAAGTCAACTTTTTTGGGTCAAATAGTTTAATTTTGTTCACTTAATTAGGATATCAATTTTAATTATGTTTTAATTCGGATTTTGAAATTTTATAGAGATTTTAATGTAGTTTCTAAATATGTAAATTTTAATTATTAAAAGTATAGTTATTTATCAATAGGGAGTATTTAATTTTAATCTTAATTAGTTGACCAAAATTAAACTATTGACTTTGCAAATCAATTTGGGATGGAGGGAGTAGTATATTATCAAATTTACATCATATAAAGTCTACTGTCTTTTTCTTAATTATTTGACAAAATTACACATTATGTACCATCGAAATAAAACATAATTAAAAATAAGTTGTTGTTCTATTCTAGATATACCCGTGCATCGCACGGGTATTTAGTCTAGTGAGAGATAAAGAAATAAAGTAGAAGTAATAGGTAATGAGAAAGAATATAAGACGTAGGAGAGCATGGATAAAAGAGTAGGAATTATAGGAAGATAATTAAAGGTAAAAGTGTAAAACCTAGACATTTTGATTTTTTTCACTTTTGGTAGTCATTTGAGGCTACGACTATTGTGCAAAAAATACTTTTGATACCCATCTTTGAATTTTTTTATATAAAGTCGAGGACAAAAAATGTCTCTCACACAATAGTCCAAGGACAACAATGAAAAAATTAAAAGTAGAGTATCAAAAGTGTCGCTCACGCAACCGTTGAGAACCAAAAGTGGCAAATAGCCAAATACCCATAAAATTTATCAAAAAATATAATTGAAATTATGCAAATGACAAATACATCCTAAAAAAATACATTGCAAGTAATGGTGGGATTCTACTCTCCACACTTATTCCCAAAATATTTGCTTGAAAATGCTCATACATAATATACATCAATCCACATCCGTAATACATCTTTATAGACATCAAGATAATATAATAGGTTCAAAGGACAAAGTGCAACACACTTTCATGGAACTCCTACAGGCTGCAACAGTGTTAATTTCAAAATTAGCTAACAAATTACAATTCAAATAAACACAGAAAGCAACATATGCGATTCCATTGAGATATTCTTTAATGATTGTTCATAATTGAGACGTATTCTTATACAAATTGATGAAACTCTTTATTGACGGTCATGATTAGAATCACTTAAATACTACTAGTACATTTATTCTCACATCCCAACCCCAACATCCATTGGAACATCAATCTAAAAGCTCATAATGTAAATTTCACCAGGTACCCTAATTTCAACATAAATTAATTTAGAACTTTTGAGGGAAGATGACCGTGATAATAAGATAAAGTTTAAAGCTTAAACTATTTATTGACTGTTCACCAGGTACTCTAGCTCCATTAAGATACTCTTTATTGACCCGGTTCATAAATGGCATATGTACTTGTACTAAATAGTGTGAATTTATGCAAAGACATTCTTGACACAATTATACATCTAGTCTCACATCCCAACATCGGTTGAAATATTTACATGAAGGTCGTAGATTAAATTTCACCAGGTATCTAACTGCAGCATAAACTAATTTTGAACTTTTGAAGGAAGGTTACCATGTGAATAAGCTAAAGGTTAAACTTGATGGCAAGAATGAGCATTTAGTTAGGTAGTTTATGGTGAAAATGGCTCAAATAAAAAATAATCCCTGCTTTTGATGATTTAGTTCCAAGGAAGAAATAAATAATTAACACAATTATCTTTTCAAAACCATTAATAAAAAATTAACTTGGAACATGTGGTGCTTATTTTGCAGCTTACCCATCAGATTAACCATTGATATTTTCCATGAAAAAAAATAGCTGCAATCAGATTGGTGTTCTGATGAATGTTGTGGAGCTGCTGGAACATCATTAGCTGCCATATCAACTAACTTCTTGGACTCGGACTCAGTTTCAAGAGCTTCACCATAACCCATACATATAAGCACTAAAAGATTAAATAGCTGCTAAAGATTCTGACCATGCTGGCTACTACAATCTAAATTCTAAAGTTAATTTGTAGTTGATGTCTTTTCCAAATTAGTTTGGTTAACTGAAGAGAATACTCGAGCTATTAACCTAATGTAATATATAAAGAATACTAAATAAAGTCTAAAGTATAGGAATTCAGATAAATTTCATTCAACTGAAAAAGAGGGTAATAAAGAGTCATGAAGTTACCTCTCATCAATTAAGTAAAGTTACATTTCATCTCAATGGAGAAATTAACTGACCTATAACCCATCAATTAGCTTGGTTAACTAAATAGAAAACTTAAGCTATTAACATAATGTAATTCATAAAAAAATATTAAATAAAGTCTAAAGTATAAGCGTTAAGAAGAGTTTCATTCAACTGAAAAAGAGGGTAATAAGGAGTCATGAAGTTACTTATCTTTCATCAATTATAATTTCATTTCATAGTTCTGCAATGGAGATGGTAGATGAAGGTTTGGACTTAAAGCAGCTTTTGCTTCATTTATTGAAGGCTGCATGCCTACTTTTTATGTTCTTTATCAGTGGTTCAATGGCAGCCTTCTTTGCTTACAGAATCATAAGAGGTGGCGGTCCTAAGTTGTGGAGAAGAGTGTGTTGTGCGCAAATGTTCTCAAGTAGTGACCAAAATCTTAAACATCAATTATTTCCCATCACCAAAGAAAGGAATCAGTGTGCTGTTGCTTTGCCTCAATCTTCCAATGGATGCAAACATTGGTTTGAGGAAGTATAAAGCCTAGCACCATTGAGCCGGCTGAGTCACCGTGACTTACATCCTCGCGTATGACTTGTTGTGTCGGGACTTGAGAGACCCTTGGGTTGAGGATTCAACTTTTTTTTCGGAACAATGAAAAGAATATATCGGCACATTGCTCAAAGAGTGGCTAAAAAGTTGGACTTATTTCAAACAAAATCTCAATCAGTCCATTTCAATCAAATGAGACATCCAAAGCATCTGAAACCCTAAACATGATTCGCAATAGGATTGTAGATATATTGTAGAGATTAATATTCTAAATTGCTTAAACGTGAAGAATCCAACTTTATGTCAAGTAGATTAGATATAGTCAATTTCTAATGATCACAACCAACCATCTCTTTTATTGACAATTTGCATTTGTCTATCTTGTCGCCATCTCAACCACCGTGTACCTGGCCCCTTTAAAATCTTTTATGGAAATCATAATGAAAAACAACTTGCACAAGTGCATAACGCTGGGAAAAAGATACTGTTCCCTAAAACAAAATGAGATAATTCCCAATAAAAAGA